TGGTCTCAGGTCCCCAGGGTCACAGAAGGATCCGGGTGTCTGAGTGTCACAGAGCTCACAGGTATTAGAGCAGGGAAGCCAGCTACAGAGACGGAGCTAAGGAGTAAGCTCTCAACTAGGGGTTACCTTAAGCTGTGATCCGTGGCACAGTCAGGCCACTGCTCTTTGAGCAGGTACCCCATAAGATCCAGGGAGACCCCCCTGGAGGAGTGCAGGGATCTGCTGGGTTTGGAGACTGCAGGTGGGGCTGTGTGCCAGGGACAGAGATGCTTGGTCACAGGCTGGGTGAGCACGGAGCGCGGCCAGAGGCCAGGGAGACGGGCGTGATTGAGCACTTTTCTCCAAGGGCACACTGAGGAGTGGGGCCCGTAGCTCTCAGCTCCTCCGGGCCTGAGATTAGGAGGCCACCATTTTCATTCCCGTCCTCCAGAACTCTATGGAAAGCGTTCAGGGAACAAAAGCTCCCAAAAGTGAACCCAAGCGGATTGCTTAGCCCGGGCCCTGGTAAGGGCTGTGCAATTCTGCCTCGGGCAAAGACACTTGAGAATTACTATAACAAGACCCTCCCCCAGAAGATCAAGAAATCCAGCCAAGACCAAGTTCACTTACTAAGGAGAACAGTGGAATTCCAGAGGAGGAGAAAGCAAAGCATGGAATTCATGGCTTTCTCCCCATGATTCCTTAGTCTTGCAAAGTTAATTAAGTTTTTTTATTTTATTTTTTTCTTATGCTAAAATTTTTTTAACTTTTACTCTTTCCTTTCTTAATTTTTTTTGAGATTTTATTTATTTATTTGACATAGAGAAAGAGACAGTGAGAGAGAGGTACTACAAGCAGGGGGAGTGGGAGAGGGAGAAGCAGGCCTCCCCCTGAGCAGGGAGCCCAATTTGGGGCTCGATCCCAGAACCCTGAGACCATGTCCCAAGCTGAAGGCAGATGCCCAACAACTGAGCCACCCAGGCGCCCTTCTCTTAATGTTTTTTAACTAGTTTATCTTAACAATACCTTTCACTTAAAAAAAATCTTTTTGAGCCTTCATTATTATAGTCCTATTTTATCCTTCATTGTATCTAACTTTATTTTTTGTATACACATAGGGTTTTTTCTTCTAAAAAAATTTGAGATACAACTTCTCCTAATAGATCAAAATATACCCTAAATCTAGCACAGGGCTTTGTTCTAGTCTCCAGCCTGAGCAAATTCTCTCCACTTTCTTTTTTTTATTCTCCTAACCAACTTACCAACTCTTTTTTTAGAAAATTTTTTTTTTAATTTTTCATCTTTATAGTCCTATTTCATCCCTTCATCATGTTTACCCTTATGTTGTGTATGTATGTGTGTGTGTGTATATATATATATGTTTTTCATTCTTAAAATTTTGGGATGTAGTTTCTTCTAGGAGACCAAAATACTCCCAAAATTAAGTGGGTGACTCTGTTCTATTCACCAGTCTAAATATATATTTTCTTTTTTATAGATTTTTTTTTAATTTTTTTTCTGAACTTCTTTTTACCCCCTTTCTTCCCCCCATTATTTGGGGACTCTTCTGATTTGGTTAAAGCACATTTTCCTGGGGTCTTTGCCACCCTTTTAGTACTTTATTCTCTCCTTCATATATTTTTATCTGGATAAAATGATAAGGCGGGAAAAACTCACCACAAAAAAAGGAACAAGAGGCAGTACTGAAGGCTAGGGACCTAATCAAAATGGACATTGGTATTATGTCAGATCTAGAGTTCAGAATGACGATTCTCAAGGTGCTAGCTGGGCTCGAAAAAGGCATGGAAGATATTAGAGAAATGCTGTCTGGAGAAAAAAGCCCTTTCTGGAGAAATAAAAGAACTAAAATCTAACCAAGTTGAAATTAAAAAATCTGTTAATGAGGTGCAATCAAAAAATGGAGGCTCTTACTGCTAAGATAAATGAGGCAGAAGAGAGAATTAGTGATATAGAAGACCAAATGACAGAGAATAAAGAAGCTGAGCAAAAGAGAGACAAAGAACTACTGGACCACGAGGCGAGAATTTGAGAGATAAGTGATACCATAAGATGAAACAACATTAGAATAATTGGGATTCCAGAAGAAGAAAGAGGGGAGCAGAAGGTGTATTAGAGAGAATTATTGTAGAGAATTTCCCTAATATGGCAAAGGGAACAAGCATCAAAATCCAGGAGGCACAGAAAACTCCCCCTCAAAATCAGTAAGAAGAGGTCTATACCCTGTCATCTAATAGTAAAATTCATAAGTCTTAGTGACAAAGAGAAAATGCTGAAAGCAGCTCAGGACAAGAAGTCTGTAATATACAATGATAAAAATATTAGATTGGCAGCAGACTTATCCACAGAGACCTGGCAGGCCAGAAAGAACTGGCATGATATATTCAGAGCACTAAACGAGAAAAACATGCAGCCAAGAATACTATATCCAGCTAGGCTATCATTGAAAATAGAAGGAAAGATTAAAAGCTTTCAGGACAAACAAAAACTGAAAGAATTTGTAAACACCAAACCAGCTCTACAGGAAAAGGGTTCCTCTAAACAAAGAGCCTAAAAGTAGTAGACCAGAAAGGAACAGAGACAATATACAGTAATAGTCACCTTACAGGCAATACAATGGCACTGAATTCATATCTCTCAATAGTTACCCTGAATGTAAATGGGCTAAATGCCCCAATCAAAAGACACAGGGTATCAGAATGGATTAAAAAAAAAAATCAATAAAAAAAAAACCAGTATCAATATGCTGTCTACAAGAAACTCATTTTAGACCCAAAGACACCTCCAGATTTAACATGAGGGGGTGGAAAACAATTTATCATACTAATGGACATCAAAAGAAACCTGGGGTGGCAATCCTTATATCAGATCAATTAGATTTTAAGCCAAAGACTATAATAAGAGATGAGGAAGGACACTATATCATACTCAAAGGGTCTGTCCAACAAGATGATCTAACAGTTTTAAATATCTATGCCCCTAACATGGGAGCTGCCAACTATATAAACCAATTAATAACAAAATCAAAGAAACACATTGACAATACAATAATAGTAGGGGACTTTAGCACTCCCCTCACTGAAATGGACAGATCATCCAAGCAAAAGATCAACAAGGAAATAAAGGCCTTAAATGACACACTGGACCAGATGGACATAACAGATATATTCAGAACATTCCATCCCAAAGCAACAGAATACACATTCTTCTCTAGTGCACATGGAACGTTCTCCAGAATAGATCACATCCTGGGTCATAAATCAGGTCTCAACCAGTATCAAAAGATTGGGTCATTCCCTGCATATTTTCAGACCACAGTGCTCTGAAGCTGGAACTCAATCACAAGAGGAAATTTGGAAAGAACCCAAATACATGGAGACTAAAGAATGAATGTGTCAACCAGGAAATTAAAGAAGAATTGAAAAAAATAATGGAAACAAATGCTAATGAAAACACAACAGTTCAAAATCTCTGGGACACAGCAAAGGCAGCCCTGAGAGGAAAATATATAGTAATACAAGCCTTTCTCAAGAAACAAAAGAGGTGTCAAATACACAACCTAACCTTACACCTAAAGGAGCTGGAGAAAGAATAACAAAGAAAGCCTAAACCCAGCAGGAGAAGATAAATCATTAAGATCAGAGCAAAAATCAATGAAATAGAAACCAAAAAAACAATTGAACAAATCAACAAAACTAGGAGCTGGTTCTTTGAAAGAATTAATAAGATTGATAAACCCCTGGCCAGACTTACCAAAAAGAAAAGAGAAAGGACCCAAATTAATAAAATCATGAATGAAAGAGGAGAGATCACAATCAACACCAAAGAAATACAGTTATAAGAACATATTATGAACAACTATACACCAGCAAATTTGACAATCTGTAAGAAATGGATGCATTCCTAGAGACATAAACTACCGCAACTAAACCAGGAAAAAATAGAAAACCTGAACAGACCTATAACCAGTAAGGAGATTGAAGCAGTCATCAAAAATCTCCAAACAAGAGCCCAGGGCCAGATGGCTTCCCAGGGGAATTCCACCAAACATTTAAAGAAGAATTAATTCCTATTCTCCTGAAACTGTTCCCAAAAATAGAAATGGAAGGAAAACTTCCAAACTCATTTTATGAAGCCAGCATTACCTTGATCCCAAAACCAGACAAATATCCCATCAAAAAAGAGAATTACACACCAATATCCTTGTTTGAACACAAATGCAAAAATTCTCACCAAAATACTAGTCAATAGGATCCAATAGTACATTAAAAGGATTATTTACTACGACCAAGTGGGATTAATTCCAGGACTGCAAGGTTGGTTCAACATCCACAAATCAATCAATGTGACACAACACATTAATAAAAGAAAGAACAAGAACCATATGATACTCTCAATAGATGCTGAAAAAGCATTTGACAAAGTACAGCATCCTTTCCTGATCAAAACTCTTCACAGTGTAGGGATAGAGGGTACATACCTCAATATCATCAAAGCCATCTATGAAAAACCCACCGCAAATATCATTCTCAATGGAGAAAAACAGAGCTTTTCCACTACAGTCAGGAACACGGCAGGGATGTCCATTATCACCACTGCTATTCAACATAGTACTAGAAGTCCCAGCCTCAGCAATCAGACAACAAAAAGAAATTAAAGGCATCCAAATCGGCAAAGAAGAAGTGATACATTAAATATTATTAGTACAAGTGGACTGTTACCAATATAAGTAGAATTGATCCTTCTTCATTAAAATGCTTATTGTGCTAAGATGTGTTTTAATGAGATTTCACTTGAATTTAACATTTGGATAACATTTTATGGTTCTTTGGCTACTTTCTCATAACATGGTAACAGATACGTCATTTGCGTGTTTTTCAGAACAAAGATTTGGGATTTTAAACCATAATTTATTTTAATTAATATCAAAAATCTGTTTAAGATCTTTATCAAATTGTTCTATTAAAAACCTTAACATTGCATTGCTTATTTCTGTCTTTTAGGCTAAGACATCAAGCACACAAAGAATTTTATGCCTACAAACAGGTAAGAAATTTACTTCAGATTGGCCTTGATTTTTTTTTTTTTTTTTTTTGGTACCAAAAAATAAGAATTTCAATTTCCTCTCATAGTTTAGCTGGGACTGGATTTACTTTTGTTCATTTTAGCATTTCACTTCCAGATTGCAGTACAAAAATAGATCAACTTCACTTTAAGTAATTTCTTTCATATTATTTGAAGTTCAGATGATATGATATAACAGGAACTTTAGCCAACACTGCTAAAAGGAAATGCTATGGTTTATAATCCTTAAAATCACTGTTAATCTAGTGGAGTTAAGAGATTCCATTAAATGAATTTTTTACCTCTTCCATTAGCAGACGTATCAGTTCCTCAGAGGTGAACAGTTGCATTATAGTGATCTCATCTTCTCCTCCTTCTCATGTCACGCAACCAGAAGTCTAAATATTTGGGTCATTGCTGTTAATCCCTACCCTTTGTACTTTCATTCCTTTATTGATTTGTTCTTTGAGGGAATAAACTTAGCTTTTCTTGATGGACAAGTAAAATTTGTTTTTTCTTCCATGTGTCATCTGTTAACATTCTACCATTGACACCAAACAGTAGGCCTAGGTGTTCCTTAATTTTCTTTTGGTCCAAAGTGTGAAATTATTTTTATTGTCCTTAGTTTTTTTTGCTTTCTGGTTTTAGGTTTTTTGTTTTGTTTTGTTTTGTTTTTGTTTTTTGTTTGTTTTTGTGGAGTGGTAGGGTAAGCTTTAGTTTGCTTGGGTCTTTAACCTTGCTAACACTGATGCTACAGGACCATGTCACCATTTTAGGATTATGTATCTCTTTGTCCATCTTTTGTTTATGACTCTAGAAAATCTGAGCTCCTTGTCAAGTTCCTTAGAATGTCCACACTGATGTTCATAGGTAACCCAGTGTACTTCCCCATAGGTCTCATGTGAGATTCAGAGTTGAATGTTCTACTTTTCTAAATTAATGAATCCTTTCGTCTCGATATTATTATAAAATTTTTTCAGTATTATCATAAACTTGACAACCTATAGGATATTTTTATGTACGCTAATTAGAAAGTAAAATTGGCCTTAATGTCATTTAACAAGTAAAATTGACTGATAGAATTAATAGAGTAACAAGAGAGACAGTAAAGTGGTCTTTAAAATATACTGAGTTAAAAATTTAGTATATCCCCACATAGCTGGATGGTAGCTTTAGGTTGTGATTTCTGAAAATGTGATTTTCCCTGAAAATGATTTTTGGTTCAAGAATGTAAGATACTCAAAACTGGGAGATTTTCCCCCAAATTTCACTTGCCTATTTTTTCACTTTAAGATAGCATATAATCCTAATAATCTGTTTATTCTCCAAAATTTTCTATTTTATTTTTTTTATTTTTTAAGGATATTATTTTTTTAAGTAGTCACTACACCCAATGTGGGGCTTGAATTCACAACCTCAAGATCAAGAGTCACATGCTCTACCAACAGCCAGTCGGGAACCCCTGGAAATTTTCTTTTTAAATAGTGATCTGCTGCCTTCTTGCCACTTGTCATTTTTTTTTTAACTGGTATCCAATCACCACAAAATCAGGTTAGGGATAGCACCTGGGTGAATTTTAAGTTCATCTACATGACTTTGGGCCGAGCTAAAATTTTCTGAGGATAATATAATGATGTATAAAAATAAGCAAAACTTGGAAATTAAGCTTGACTTTTTTTTTTTTAAAGATTTTATTTATTTATTTGACAGAGATCACAAGTAGGCAGAGAGGCAGGCAGAGAGAGAGGAAGGGAAGCAGGCTCCCCGCTGAGCAGAGAGCCCGATGCGGGTTTTGATCCCAGGACCCTAGGATCATGACCTGAGCTGAAGGCAGAGGCTTACCCACTGAGCCACCCACGCACCCCATTGACTTTATTTTTTAATCTTTTATAAATTAAAAATCAGTCAGTTCTATCAGTTAATACTGTGTTTTAGTGAATCATGAGAGTCAACTTCATTTATTTTCCTCCTAAGTTAGCACTTGGTCCAGATGAGCATGTATTTATGTCTTTTCCTGAAATTTAATCTATATACTCAAGGGGATTTTAAAATTGCTTTTCAGGAGAACATTGCATTGCTGCTCAAGTTAAAAATTTTGCTAAAAGAAATATGGCTAAAATGTTCTGTCTCGGGGCACCTGGGTGGCTCAGTGGGTTAAAGCCTCTGTCTTCGGCTCAGGTCATGATCTCAGGGTCCTGGGATCGAGCCCCGCATCGGGCTCTCTGCTCAGCAGGGAGCCTGCTTCCTCCTCTCTCTCTGCCTGCTTCTCTGCCTACTTGTGATCTCTGTCTGTCAAATAAATAAATAAAATCTTAAAAAAAAAATGTTTTGTCTCAGTAAAAGAGGTTTTCTCCAATATTGCACAGGAGAAATGAGCTACATATACAAAAGAAAAATATGTTTGAGTAAAATGAGAAATGTTTTAAATTATAGATTTAAATGGGCATAACATTTTGTTTTTGTCTTACAGGTTATATTAAAAGAGAAAGTAAAAGAACTGAATTTACATGAGGTAAGTTGCCTATAAGTATTTTAATCTTTTCTCAAGCTGTTATCTAATAGAAATAATATGCTGTGGTATGCTTAACCATCTTTATTTTGAGAAGTTAACAAAAGTTAAGCTTATCTTGATCTGCTTAATAGAATATTTGAGGGTGAGGTCACATAAAAATCAATTATGAGATGACTTTAAGAGAGAATATTAATTAATTGTGAGATTTTTAATAGAGATGGTGGTGTCGTAAGATTTCATAGCAGTAGGAATGCTCTGTGTTATCCCTGATATGAGGAGGTAAGTATAAATTAGCTTTTCTACTCAAGATGAATTTGCACTAATTTCATTCTTGAAAATGTTCCTAGTAATCCCTTCATATAAATGGCACAAAAGAGGCAGTGATTACTTCATGGGGGTGGGAGTTTGGGGAGGTGAGGCAAGAGGATACAATAGAGAAGAATGTAAGGGGAGATATGATTCCTTGGGATTATCTAGTGATGTAGTTGCATGGTTGGTTCCCAGGTGTTTATTATGCTACCACGCTTTGTAACGTGAATACAAAAGTGTGTGTGTATCCTGCTGTACACCTTCAGGCACATCACCTGTAATAATTCTTTTTCATTTTACTCCTTAGTTCATCTCTGACTACAGTATTTCAGAATTTTTAATTTTAAGGCCCTTTTCTCTTCCTTCCTTTCCAAGTTTTTGAATTGGTTTGTGAAACAAGGACTTGGAAAGCTGTACATTATAATATCTGTCTTATGTAATCTAATTGTGGGACAACTTCATTGCTAGTCTCTTCAAAGAGAGTTGATTTGTAAAATTATTTGAATAATAATAAAATAATGATTTAGGGGTGCCTGGGTGGCTCAGTCGGTTAAGCGTCTGCCTTTGGCTCGGGTCATGATCTCAGGGTCCTGAGATCAAGCCTGCTTCTCCCTCATCCTCTGCCTGCTACTCCCCCTTCTTATGTGCTCTCTCCCTTTATCAAATAAGTAAATAAAATCTTGGGAAGAAAAAAGAATGATTTATATTATTGTCAAACACTTTGAAAATGTCTACTGCTCCTTTGCTCTTTTTGCATATTTTTTTATCAAAGAGTTGCTGTATTACAGCATTTTAGACCTAACCTTGGATTAAACCCAAAGCATCAATTACTGTTTGATTTTTTTAATTAATTAATTAGTTTGTTTGTTTGTTTATTTATTTATTTTTACTGTTTGATTTTTAAATTTTCCCAAAATTAACATGAAGTAATAGAGGATGATCTCTTTTCTCTTTGAGGTCTCTTTGAGGACCATAAATGTAAAGATTATATTCTGACATATTTTACCAATATTAAACAACCGGGTTCCTCAGGAGCAGAAATCTTCCTCATTGGTGTGACCCACTAGATTAGAATGAGTCTTCATCTTGAATGAGGACATTGCATCGCATCACTATGCATTGGAGTTAGTATCCCATTTGCACCCACCCATTCCAGTTCCGCCAAGTCTGACCAGCTACTGATCCCTTCTCCCCATTATTTGGGGAGAAGTATGCAGAAGGTGCTGTGTGTTGAAACTGGTAGCTAGGATAATCTAACCTTGCTCTACAGCTTGTTTCTAGAAGCAATCATGCACTTTTTGCAATTCATTTGGTCCTTTCAAGTTGCATTTCTTGGTGATGAAACTATTTGGTCAGACTTTTGTGTTGTGTATGTGTGCATTCCTGTATCCTAATTATAGTGGTAAGAGTTTGGTCCTGTGTTAGCATGTGGAATTTCAATATGGATACTGTTACTAGTGAATAATTACAGTAGTGAAATATCAAAGACAAGCTAAATGTCCATCAGTGGTGAGTAAATAAATAAAACATGATATACTGGAAGATTACCCAAAAGAGAGGGAGGGAAGCAAGGAAACCTGTTAGAGTACAATGAGGGTACTATAAAGGAGGCAAAATTAAGGACTGAGCTCTACCTGTAAATGTGTCAACTGGGACAGATCTCTAGTGGGATCCAAAACAAAGCAAGTCACAAAGTGATATAAATGTTTATTTGACATATAAACTGAACTAAATACCATATTGTTCATGGATATATATGCATACTACAAGGTGTTTTATTGGGTTTGAGAATGACACATAGTTACATGGAGGAAGAGAAGAGAAAAAAGATTAGGGGAAGTTGGTCAAGTAGTACTGCATTAAGATGTTAGTTTTATATGTAATGGTTCTTAAGGAAGGAAAATAGGTTAATATGTTACTTTTAAAATAATTTTAGAGTTGGGGCACCTGGGTGGCTCAGTTGGTTAGGTGTCCAACTCTTGGTTTTAGCTCAGGTCATGCATGGTATTAGGGTTGTGCGATCGAGCCCCAAGTCAGGCTCTGCATTGGGTGTGGAGCATCTTTGGGATTTTCTCTCTCCCTCTTCTCTCCCTCTCTGAAATAAAAATAATTTTAGAGTTATTGGATACATAAAACATGTCATTGCTGTACTAAACTAGATAAATGCAAATAAGCATAAAATACTAATTTCTGCTCTTAAGCAGTTAACAGTCTGGTAGAGGAGACTATAAATGAGAAAGTCATACTGAAGTGTGCAGTGGGTGCTGTGTGTTATCTGGGATATATGCTGAGAAGTTTTTGGAGGTACTGGTGTTGTGCATACAGCTTCTCCTTGGCTTTTGCTCCCCTAAGGGAGACTTCCTGGGACCTTGTAGATTGAGATGCCCAGGTACCACCCCCCACCCAGCTTCTTAGACAGTTGGCTCTATAGCTGTCACTATATCATTTTTGCTTAATTTTTCCTACCAGTATAGGAGTCAAACAACACTTATACTAAGTGAAGCTAAGAAGATACGTGTACATAATCAAAACACGAGAATATATTGTCCTTCTGTGAAGAAAATGTCCTCTCAGTACCCATAGTCTTTCCTACTTTTGTTTATTTCTCCATCTTTTCATAGAGACACAGATATACAGAAGGAGATCTGAGAGAAACAACAGAACTGTCATGCAAGTGGGTTAATATATGTCATCTAATAAAGTCTTGGTATCAAAAACAGAAGGGTGCTGTGACACACTGGGACATGTAGGTCCTGTTAAAGGAGTTGCCAGCACTCAACTCTAGCTGATTGTTGCCATGTGAAAATATAGGCTAGTTGTTGCTAGACCTGGGGTTCTTCAAGAGAAGCCTGAGAGGCTTGGCATTAGTTTATGATCTGCCCCTGTTTGCACTTAATCTTTGATTTGTTCACCACAGTGTCCCCAGCTCTAGTTTGGTGAGTGGTAGCTTTCTCCATTAAATTTCCTTTGTCAAAAATCAAATGGTCATATTTTGTGACTATTTCTGGATTCTCCATTCTGTTCCTTTGATTTATACACTCATCCCTTCTCCAACACCACAGTTTTAATGTAGCTTTACTAATAAAGCTTACTATAGCTTCATAAATCTTAAAATCAGGCAGTATGATCCTCCAACTTTATTCTTTTCCACAACTGTTTTAGCTAGTCTAATTCCTCACTCTTCCACATAAATTGTAGCATCAGCTAGTCTATATCTACAAAAAAGAAGAAATCCTGCTGGGATTTTTTAGTAGTACTGCATTAAGTCTATAAATCGGGGGGAAATTGGCATCTTTACCATGAGTCTTCTAATCTATAAACATATTATGTCTTTCCACCTATTTATTTATTTATATAAGGCTCTGTTGTTAGCCGAATACACATTTAGGATTTTTAGGATTGTATCTTCTTGGTGAATTGATACTTTTATTGAAATTGTAATACCCTCTTCATCTCTGGTAGTTTTCTTTGCTTTGAAATCTATGCCTAGTATTAATATAGCACCTCTAGCTGGGGTGTCTGGGCAGCTCAGTCAGTTAAGTATCTGACTCTTAGTTTTAGCTCAGGTCATGATCTCATGGGTGGTGAGATCAAGCCCCGCATCAGGCTCCCCACTCAGTGGGGAGTCTGCTTGAAGATTCTCTCCATTTGTGCTCACGAGCTTGCTCTTTCTCTCTCTCTCTAAAATAAATAAAAAGAATTAACTCCTTTTTAAAAAAATATGTAGCACCTCTAGCTTTCTTTTGATTGTTTGTGTAGCATGTCTTTTTCCATCTTTTTATTTTCAGTCTACCTATATAATTATATTTGAAGTGAGTTTTCTTATAGATAGCATAAGTTTGGGTTATGGTCTTTTTTATTTTTTCTTTAACCCACTCTGCCAATCTTTGTTTTAATTGGTATGTTTAGACCATTTACATTAGAGGCAATTATTGGTGTTTGGAATTAGGTCTAATATTGTATTATTTGTCTTCTGCTTTTCCCTCTCTTTGTCATTCCTTTTCCTTATTCCTGCCTTCTTAGGGTTATTTGAACCTTTTAGCAATCCATTTTTTTTTAGCAATCCATTTAATTCACTTTTCTTTTTTTAAACATTTTTTTCATTTATTCATTCAAGAGAGCACAAGAGAGAGCATGAGCGGGGGTAAGGGCAAAGGGAGAGAGAGAAGCAGACTCCTCACCAAGTAGGAAGCCCAATGCAGGGCTCAGTCCCAGGACCGCAGAACCACGACCTGAGCCAAAGGCAAACGCTCAACCAACTGAGTGACCCAGACACCCCTAGTAATCCATTTTTAGTATCTATTATGATTTTGACTTTATCTTTTTGTGTAATATTTTAGTAGACTATAAAATAAATAATTAGAATCAACTTTTTAGCACTTCAGTTGGAATGTAGAAACCTTCCGTCATATAGATCCCTTTATCTTTTTCCCTTTATGCAATAGCTATCATATTACATCTATATGCATTGAAAATCCCATCAGACAGTGTTGTATTTTTTTACTTAAAACTGTCAAATGTATTTTAAAGAATTCAGGAGAGGAAGAATAGTGATAAATATTTATCATTTATGTTGTTCTTCATTCCTAATATTCCAATTTCCTTCTTAATTCCATTTTCCTTCTATCTGATGATCTTTCTTTAGCATTTCTTTTAGAGCAGATCTGCTGGCTGTGAATTCTACTAGTTGG